TACAAATACAAATACAAATAAGACGTGGCATCTTAAAGACTACCCGCGATATTGTAATGTAAGCTTCTGCGCAACGTGGCCCCCATCTTCAGAAATATGAGTTGGAATATGACAACAAAGTGGTAAAACTCTTCAGATGCTTTGCCTCCTTGAAGCGGCTGGACTTCATGATCCATTGGGTCCCTTCTAGCTCTTGCAGCTCTAAGATTATTGAGATCATTATTAAGATGTCATGTAAAAAAAACGACAGACCTTTAACCCTTTGAGCCTGGTTCTCAAAAGCTGGATCCGGTAGAAGTAATAGGGAATAACAACGTAATGATTACTTGCAGTGATATAGTAGCTCCTAAGTCTGAAGGTGTGGACGGAGGTCCGTGAAAGCGTACCTCAAAATATAGCAGCTCGTCTTTAGGGTGGCAGAATGAATGTTTGTTTGTTCTGTGTTTCTTTCTAAAAGTAGTAGGACTGGGAAATGATCACAGTTGTGAGGGGTTCACAACCCTCAGCCTGGAAGCAACGCAGAAGAAATCCTCCTGCTGTCATGCCCGTTGGGGGGGGCACCTCTGTATGGATGAACTCCTGGGATTCTCATTGTGCAAGTGGTTTTAAAAGACGTAGCCGTATTAGTCTAGGGTAGCAAACATGTTTTTACCTGACATCGTACAAGTAGGTTCATAAGAAGTTGGAGGGTGCCTTAGCTGTTCCGCGCTTCCAGGGTATTGTTGACAGCAGGTAAACGGGAAGATTGCTGCTTCTTCGTAAGTATTTGCTGTTGTTTCTTTAGCCGAAAATTTGCCCTCTTTTCTTTTCTCATCTTTAAATTCTCTGTAGATGGAGGAAAAAAGTTCGGGGTTAAGTTTCTATTTTTGTGTAAACTGCTCTTGTCTTTATCCTATTTCCATTTGTGTAATTTTTAGAGAGTAATCTACCGTATTTTAATTTTTTGCTGGTAATGTTCTTTGTCCCTTCTCACTTTTTTTTTTTTTGGTAAATCTTCATTCAGGACAAGGGGTTTGCTGCGCTCAGGGGTGATGCCTGAAGCCAAGAAGCCAGTCTGGTATGAAGTTTATGCAGCCTTCCCTCCACTTAGGGAGCCGGTTTATCAAGATCCTAATCCGGAGACTGACAAAGAAGAAGACCCTATTCGCCCTATCCTGTACCCGGAGGATAAGATCAGAGCGTATGCTTCCCCCTCCTTCCCTTCTTTCTGTTTCTCTCTCATCATGTTAGGACTTGACAGTTATACAGTATAGTGAATTTGATGTACAGTGGATTCCAGACTGTGAGGAAGATACCAAGTGCTAGATTTACACAGGAACTGAGTAGATTACAGGTTAGAGCCTCAGATTTTGAGGAGACGAGGATCCAAAACAAACAAACAAACAAACAATTTTTTAACTGGCTGGCCCCCCACACCTTTCAAAGTTATTGTTTGGGATTTTTGGTAATGTTATGGGACCTCTTCTTACACTTGGTGGAGGTAAAAGCCTCAAGCATGTCTCAAATCCATCCCCAAGGAAGACTTTCTTTACACAACACATGTAATCATTGTTGTCATCAGGTGGCATCAAGTCAATTCTGACTGATGGTGACTTTTTTCAGGTTTTCTAAATAGAGTATATTCAAGTGATTGGCCATTCCCTTCTTCTGGGGGCATATCTAGGACTACCATGCAGCTTGCCCAAAGCTACACAGGCTGGCTGTTCTCCCAGGAGGCACCGTGGGGGAATCGAACTCCCAACCTCTGGCTCCTCAGCCGGGTACCTAAACCCCTGAGATATCCAGCCTGTGAAAGAAATAGAAATGGCCAGTAGCTGTGAGGACTTCGAAAGGGATTAGACAATGGAGGAGAAGAGAAATCAGTAGCTGGTGGCTGTGAATGCTAAATGAAGTTTCATTCAGAGGCTACATGCTGTTAAATTCCATCTCTTCCAAATCCCTTGTGCTTGCCTGCATGTGAGGTGGTTTCAAGGCCTCGCACAGAACAAACAGGTCAGCCTCTTAGAGCTGGTCTTGTCTGTTGGGTTTTCATGCAGCTGTTTATTAAGATGGGGACTCTTTCCAAGCCAGAGGCATGCAGATTGTACAGCTCTAGATCAAGGATGGTCAAATTGTGCCATCCTTGTGCCAGCTGTATTGGGCTACAGCTCCTAACAGCAGCCAGCGTATCTGATGGTGAGGATTAAACTTTCTCTGCTCCTGATTTAAACAAGAACAACAACGATGTTCCACCAAGTCAGTTCTGGCTTATGGTGGTCCTTTATAGGGTCTTCCAGGTAGAGAGTACTCAGAAGTAGTTCCCCATTCCTTTTCTCTGGGGCCGCCCTGGCACTGGGAAGCTTGCCCAAGGCTACACAGGCTTGCTTTTCTCCCAAGGAGGCACCATGGGGGAATCAAACTCCTAACCTCTGGCTTTGCTGCCAGAGACCGAAACCACTGAGCTCTCCAGAGAGTTCTTAGTCTAAACAGGGACCTAGAATTGGGATTGCAGGCCGTGGGAAGCTTAGTCACTCTAAGAAAATACTGGTCGTTCTCTCTACCGAATGATTATTCATGTCCGTCTCAAACTGAAATGTTTTATCTATTTCATTAGGAAATTTTACCAAGTTTATGGAAATGGTCCAAAAGCCTTTCAGCTCTCCAAATTAAATTTTGAATCTGCCTGTCAAAAGTAAGTGGACGAGTGCTGACTTTCCTTCCCCCATCCTATCCCCACGTTCATGGAATGGAAATGATGATGATCCCTCTTGGCCTCCATTGACGACGAGCCTCTTGGATTTCAGGTTTGTTCAGAAATACAACCTGCTGGAACAGAAAGGAGAAGTGGACGAGGACAGACTGTTTGAGGAAACAGGGAAGGCCCTCTTGGCAGAAGGTTTTCTCTTACAAAAGCATGTAAGTATTATTTGTAGGACATTTCTATCCCCTTTTTCATTTTTTTAAAAAAATATATCAATATTTACAATATTGAAATGTTGACAAAACTAGGAAATTTTATGAAAACGGTGGCAGAATAATGAAATCATGCAACCATGTAAGAAAGCAATGGTTTTAAAAAAATCAAATAGCTCATGAAAGTCTTTAGGATTTTACTAAATTCACCATCAAGAACATACCTTGGCGAGCAAGTCGGCCTTGAGGTAGAGCCTGGGATGTTTCACCTTGGGAGCCTTTCTCAAAGGAGAAAGATGTGCTGAGCAGTTGGATACCCCAGAATCACATTCACTTATTTGGAAGCAGGAGCTAGTCCTGGTTGCTCAGTACAGTCCCAGCAACTGAGACATCCTATATCACACAGATCATAGAGGGGTTAAAACAAAGGTCCAGTAAAGCAAACACAAGAGAAGAGATTGTGCCATTCAGCCGAGCTCTGCAAGAACATAACAGAAGAAGCTCACCTCTGGATGGATGCTGTAGTGCACCTGTACACAACCAACCTTGGGTCCCCAGATGTTCTTGGACTAAAACTCCCAGAATCTGTGAAGATTCTCAGAAGTCTTTGCCACTAATTGGACTGGCCAGGATTTCTGAGAGCTGTCGTCCAAGAAGATCCGGGGACCCAAAGTTGGGAACCATTGCTGTAGAACTGTGCAGGTCTCTCACCAAGAGGCGCTCTGAAGTCCTAGAGGAGTAGCCGCACAGGTCAAACTCTTGTCCGGAGACTTGTTTTGCCTCCACATAAAACAGGATTTTCAGCACAGCTTCACTGGTCTGTTTTCGCAGACATTCATACGAGTGCTGGCGCTTTGCCTAAAAGGGACATTAATTATCTTCCAGCGTATTACTGTAGGTCAATAATTGCACTATGTATTGAAGAATAAACTTTTCCTATAATCCTCCCTGGCAGCCCTGATGTGACTTGACGCTAATGACGAAGAGAAATTGACTCTTAATAGTGTGTGGCTGTAATCCAAAGCATACTTGTTTTGCATTAAGATCCCATTGAAATTAGCAAGACACGCTTCTCGGTGAATCGTACCAGAAGGGCCTATTTCTTTGAATAAGCTGTGAACGGGGTTACATTGTGTTTAAATTTTCCATGCTTTGAAGATTGTTTGAGGCTGCAGTGAGTGTGTGTCAAGTTTTCTCTGTCCCTTCCTATCCTTAATCCACTGGACTGAACCTATAGGCATGGTATTTGTGATTAGCAGAAAAGGGAACAATGAAGGGGGAAATTCATTCTCTACCACTGTCCCTCTGGAGCGAGAGCTTATGCTGGTTAAAGTGCTCGCAGCATATGCGGTCTTCAGCTTAGCTTGATTCCTCTTGAGGAAGTTTGACTTGCTGCTGCTTGCATGTAATGGGATAGCTTTCAAAACCCCTGTAGATTCAAGTTCCAAAACCTCAGCTAAATCCTTATCATCATCATCACATGCCATCAAGCCAGTTCTGACTTATGGCAACCTTTTTCAGGGTTTTTCAGGTAGAGAATACATAGAACTGGTTTCTCATTCTCATCTTTCAGACTGTGCAGCTTGCCCAAGGCTACACAGGCTGGCTCTTCTCCCAGGAGGCACCGTGGGGGAATCAAACTCCCAACGTCTGGCTCCACAGTCAGAGACCTAAACAATGGAGCTATCCAGCCTTTGGCATCATGGTCATCACCTTTCAGTGGCGATGGGCACATATAAATCCACACATCAGATATATCGCCCTTATATCCTGAACACATCAATCCCATTTGATTTGGGAGGCTGGGCAGGCCAGACCTGGTTAGAACTTGGAAGGGAGATCACCAGATTTCTCCAGCTAGAAGTGGGAAAGTATGCGCCCCGAGTAGACTCTGTCTAGAGGGGTGGAGTAGAAAGCGAATAATAAATAAATTAAAATACAGTGGTGCCTCGCTTAGTGATCGCTCAGTTTAGCGACAAAATCGCTTAGCGACGCTGTTTTTGCTATTGCAAAAGCAATCGCTTTGTGATGTTCTCTCTTAGGTATTTTTGCTTTGCGATGATCTCAGAGAAGCGATCATCGCAAAGCCCCCGTTTTCGCACAGCTGATCGGCGGTTTCAAAAAAAACCATGGCCGCCCGCTGTGTTTAGGGACGGATTCCGCGCTTTAGAGGCACCGAAAATGGTGGCGCTATGGAGGATCTTCGCTCAACTGTGAGTTTTAAGCCCATAGGAATGTATTGAAGGGGTTTCACTGCATTTCTATGGGTTTTTTAATATCGCATAGCGATGTTTTTTGTTCTGCAGCGATTTTTGCGGAACAAATTAACGTCGCTAAGCGAGGCACCACTGTATTTTGCCTTAAAGCTGCTCAGGTGGTTCCCACAAGGAGGAAAGAAGCTCCCAAGCTTCCTTACAAATCCCTGGGTTGCTCTCTGGAAACTCTGAAGAGCCAGTTCTGCTATTCAGTGTCGACAGTCTTGACTTGAACCAAGAATCTGATTCATTTTGAAGATTGTTCTTATACAAGTTTCTCTCATGACGTCACCTTAACCACATCCACTTATCTGCCTGGCAACAGGGTGTTCAATTGAACCACTAATTCAAAAATTTGCTTGACACCCACTCCGCATGATATTATATGAATGCCTTTCTGTCTCCACTTGTTTCTTTCTTCAGACACTAAAGGGTCCTTGGTATAGTTGCATCCAAACATTTGTAGTTCGTTGAGCAGTCTCAAAAATAAGCACTTTCGAGAAATGGAGACAATTCGAAAGTTACTGTGATTGCTTTTGCAGTGTGTTTGTGGGGTGTATCCAAGGATCTGCATTACAGCACATTTGGGTCAGGACTGCCGTTAAGACTTCCTTCCGTGATGCTGGAGGGGGCAACTTGTCTGCTATTTCATTCTGGAAAAAAAAATGCTAGTTACATTTATGCCAGTCACACTGATGTCTTTATTGAGCCAAATGGGGCTATGCAGGAAGGTGGAGAAGAGAGAGAGAGAATTCTGTGAGTAGCTCCGAACACCATAGCAAACTTGTAATGGGCCAGTAGTGCTTGGTGGTGGAAGGTCTCATCCTTGGTTCAACTCTTCCATGCTGCTCCTCTGCTTTGGCCTACAGGTGGCGCCACTTCCTTCCCAGGAGGCCAAGCAAGAACACCCTGCCTTGAGCGTGAAAATCCACAACGTCTTATCAGAGGCACAAAGTCAGCCTCAAGAACAAGCACCCGAGCCTGCAGAAGATGTGCCTAAGGGAGGCCCTTTGCCATCATCCTAAGGGCCTTGCATTCCTCATCCCTTATTTTTGCAGCAGTGCCTCTATGTCAGCCGATGTCTAATCGGAGACACTCCGGACTGAGAGATGCTTGCATAATTCAAGGTTGGCAACACTCTCTCCACCTCATATTCCCCCGCACACCGTTGTGAATGTTGGATTGGTCTACAGTATGCAACACACAGCCTTGGGGCATTCCTTGAACTGGAGGGTGTCTTTGAGGGGCAGTGGGTGGTAGGCAGTCCTGCAGACTGAAGTGTGTATGTAAAACGATGGCTTTGGTCATTAAAAACGTCCTTCAGCAATGGAGGACATGAATGGCTTGATGGCGTAATCTGGTCCCTGCGTTTTCAAACCGATGCACTCATAACCCAGGAGTCGATCGATCCCATGAAATATGTAACTTCCCCACTGAGCAGTTGTGTGCAGGATTCTTCCCTGTGAATTATGGGCAAGCAAAGTCAGTGTGAAGTTTTATTTGCATCTATCTCTTTGCTTGGTTTTCTTCCCCCTTTGCAGGGCCTAGCCGAGCATCTCATAGGAGCAGAGCGGTACCCCAGGCAGACCCAGTCCAATTGGCCAGGCAGACTTAAAGCTCAGTAGGGGGACCCTTAGGTGAGTTGTAATTTTGGGCTAAGCTCGGGTGAGAAAGAAGTGAAATGGCCCTTTGATGCAGGCCTTGAAGTAGCTTGTAATTCCAGTAACAGGAGCTTGCACATGGTATCAGTAGATTCAACTTGTTGCTGAGTTTGACTTGACTGCCCCCCCCATCTTTTTTTTTTTAAGTTCACACAAACCCAAATGTATTTCATTCTGTCCTGAAAGCTCTACACGGAGCAGATGTCGGGAGAGTGTGTCCCTGTGGATGCTGTTGGAGCGTCTCTCACCGCAGGCCAAGGCTTGATGAAAGCTGACATTCAACAAGGTCTGGAGTGAGGCACATTCCCAACCGTGGTGCAGAATCACGGAAGACACAGATAAAAACATAAGGAGGCCGAGAGTCTGACCGGGAGGATGTTGGGCTGAACCAAATCACCGCTGATATTTTCTAAAGAAAAATGTTTCACGTGTCTCAAAACCATGCAAGTTTTAATTCAAACCCAGTTACTTCTTATGAGCCAAAAATGGCCTCAATTAGGGCTGGGATCCTGCACTTTTTAAGCTGAGGGATAAGGCCTACTAAATGCATTGGGGCTCGCATCTCACTTGTCATACACAGCATTGATGGTCTGCTTTCACACGGCCCCACAGCTTTCATCTACCCATTCACAGCAGGTTTGCTAGTGGTGACACATTTCTGAAAGGTAGAGCGAGAGCAGGCATTTTCCATTTTGGGACAGGGTTTTCAGCCAGCCGGGAGCTGTAGAGACGTTCGTTCCATTTTTGTCAACGAATTGGAAGAAAGCTACATTGGCCCATTTACCTAATCCTCCTCTTGTCCCAATATGAAGTTGTTGGACTTCAGCATGGCTGGCTAAAAAAACCCAAAAAAGGACAGGCTTTTGGATATCACAGAAGTGGAAGTTAAATGGAAACACAAAGCTCTTTATATAGAGACAAAAAAGTGAAGACATCGCAGGCCAAGATCTGTAAGCCTGCCATCTTAAAAAGCAGCGAGAAAACAATCTCTCAGTCAGTGTGACCATCTTGTTGGTAGCTGGAGGTTTCTGCAGATCTGTTATATTTGCAGATTTCTCTTCTCGCTCAGAGATCTCGGAAGTTAAAATAATGAGATGGAAGAAAATAACAGGAGAACAGTTGTGCCAATTTAACAAAGAATTTTAGAGCCGGTTCCCAGGGTGACTGACAATACAGTGATATTAAAAATAAGAGAAATGAAATTAATAGTAAAGACCGGTATGCACAGGCATTCAGATGTGACGGGATACAGGCTTCCCTGTGGCCAAATCAAGGTTGCTGGATGGTGTAGTCTTGCAACATCATGATTCCATTTGCAATGCATCTAATACACTTTTTCTCAACCTTGGGCCATCCGGGAGCTCAGCACTCCAATCTCACTCAGAAGCCCCCGGCCGGTATGGCTGCTCATAAGAGTTTTGAAGAACCAAAGGTTGAGAATCGCTGGCCCACCAGGATGCTGTGTTTTAGAGAATTAGGGTATTTTCCCTTCCCGTTGGGATGAGTGTGCAGTTCAAATATCCCCCCATGCTGTTTGGAGGATCCTGGGATGTGTAGTCCCTGAATATAATTTCCCCCCAGCTTTGAAGCAATCACAGAGTCATCTTCAGTTGGACGTGGTCCCGGATGGTGTCATTGAAGGGGATCGTCCCTGTTTCATTCATTTTCTTTGACTACTGGAGATTGGAGGTGGGGGCGGTAGAAAGAAATTGTTCTAAAATAACAGCTGTCTTGAGTGGAAGAATCTGAGACCTTTCTTGGCTGCAGGCTTTCATCTTTGCGCCTTGGCTTGACGCAGTGCCTGCCCCGTCTTGAGAAAAGTTGTAGCCACCGGGCCTGTTGCCAGAAGGGGAAGAGAGAAAGGAGGGGGGGTTGTTGCTGGCAATGTGGCCCAATTAACTGGGAATCTTTGCAGTGCCTAAATGAGGAAGCCAAGTCAAAAGGAGCTGGCAGGGGTCAGGCTTGGCTGTTGACCGTGGAAGTTTGTTGATGCATTCATAGTGGGAGAGATTGGGGGGGGAGCGGGCTGCCTCCCCCTCTACGATTTTCCTTTTAATTTCTAAGGCAGCTACCAGAGTAAGAAATGTTTTTTTTGGAATCCCGGTTGCATCTTGGCTGACCTCCGTCCCAACGAACACATGCGTAGAATAGCATACACCAGATCCACTCGGTCTCTGTTATTTTCCAGCCGGAGCAGTTGGAGAAGCTTTCCGGGTTCACCTTTTCAATATGCCATCTAATAGGCAAGCATCCGTCTCACCTTAAAGAAGGAAACCGAGAGGCCAGAAGGGGAAAAACACAAAGTATTTAATGCTCCCTCTCCCCTGGATGAGTGCTTTGTAGTCAAGGCGCTGTCATTCATTGTGACCTTATGGGAGCTGGAGTATTTTAATTAAAAGGTTGTAAGCCGCTGCCCCCCCCAAGGGTGACCTATTTACTTATTTATCAAGTGTTTACCTTCCAGCCGTTAGCAAAAGGTCGTGAGCTTCAGCAAAGGCGTTAGAGTTAAGATTTTGCCTGCATCTGCCTTTTGTACAGTTAAAAACAACATCCGCTCTTTAGCTTAAATGAAGAAGATGCCAACTTTGGGCATCTCATTTTTCTTTTAATGCACAGGACCTTCCCTGCCAATAGCAATTCTGATTTACGGATGCTTCATTCTGCATAATGCAGAAGGAGGTTCAGAAGAGGAAAGAAAGAGAGAGGAGGGAGGCGGTGTTTCTCGTGGCACCTTGTCTCTACGAAAACTGAACCAGCTAGTGATTATGGCCAATAATGAGATATTGATTATTTTGCAAATGTCACGGCGGGAAGGACAGAAATGCCGGCAACGGGTGGCGATTGTTCTGCCGTCGTCCACTTGATGGCACTGTCGGGTTTTCCACGATAGTCCTACTCTCCTTTCCTCTGGCACTTGTTCCCAGGGCAGACCCTCTTTGGGCTGTGGGCTTCTGTCTAAGATTGCAGTGCCTTTACAACTGCAGGCAGATCATGCTCAGCAAGAGAGCCCTTTGTTCCGATCCACCTTGGCTGCTCTTTCGTATATCTTAGAACAGTCGTGCGCAAATCATAAAGCGTGTCTCTCATTTAATACATCTAGTCTATTTTGTGTTTTTTTAAACAAACATCCATACAGTGTTTTTTCTTCTTCCTGGAATCAAAATAAAGCACAGTGCAGCAAAATACTTTGTATGTATGGCTTACATATCGTGTCCATAGACATAAAAAGTGCATCTTTAGGAGGTGACACAAGAGTAAAAGCCACACTGAGTTTCCTAGTGCATGTGCCATCACTTTGAATGGAAATTCTTCTTTATTCTGGCAGGACTTAAGGAAGGGGAATGGTTCTGATTTCTTTATCGCCATCACTTGGAGCTGCCGTATTATCTTCCTGCAATAGTAAGGCTGTCTCTCTTTTTACTGTACTTCTGCCCTGTGTAACTTTTAATCAGACTCACCAAAATATAGTGATATCTATGTCTGTGTGTGTGTGTGTGTGTGTGTGTGCGCGCACACACACACACACACACATTTGTGTGCAATATACCGTGATCTGCAGAGAGGTACATAAATCTAGGTCTAGTTAGGGGTGTATGCAGGGTTTTTCCATGGCTCCCGCAAGGCACAAAGTTCTGTAAGAAGCAGCCTTTGTAACAATTCCCATTGTAAGTCTGTGCAACACTGGATAATGAGAACCTTTACTGGAGGTGGGGGGGAAAGCCATTTAAGTAAAAACAGACGGACTCTTTTTGGGATCTGTAATGAGAAGGGAAGCTGATACGTACACCGTATGTTATAAAAAGGTCGGTCTGCTCTTGCGACAAAGGAGGTGAAATATCATTCTTGTGTCGGATTGTATCTTAATTCACTTAAATTCTCAGTCTAATGCCCATGGTGTTGGGTCAGCAGGCAACAGGGCTCTCTTGCTTTGGGTGGAAAGAGGAAGCCTTTTTGCCTAGAACTTGGGAGCCTTGTTTAATGAGTGGAGTTGGGCTTTGCCCCTCTTTCTCTTCAATGCTACACCCCATTAAGAGAGCGCCCAGTTGATCTTTGTGAGCTAAATTGCTGATCTCTTCCTGAAAGCTAGCCAAAGGGGACAGAGGTCGTGAGCTCCCCCTTGAACTTCTGGCTAGCTTCATCAGAACACATTGCAAGGCGGTTGAGTTAACAATTGGGGGCAGGAGGTCAGAGTCTTCCCCCCCCTCCTCCCAGCAGCTCAGAGCACTTTAAAACAACATCCTCTTGGAGCGGACTCTTGACTCTCTGAGACTTTGCCCGGATTTCTGATACCCAAGTCCCACTTTTCGGGCATCTCTACAGAGAGGAGTCTGGAGCAAAGATGGGCTGAGAGGTGACGGGCTGCCTCTTGCCCAAGTAGACGTTGGAAGGACAGTTGCAAGCTGGGAGTTATAGGAAACCAGGTGTGGGGAGGTAAAGGTAAAAGTTCCCCTTGACATTTAGTGCAGTCATGTCCGACTCTAGGGCACAGTGCGCATCCCTGTTTCCAAGCCATAGAGCCAGCATTTGTCCGAAGACAGTTTCCGTGAATGCCGTTACCTTCGCACCGAGTTGGTACCTATTTATCTACTTGCATTTGCATGCTTTCCAACTGCTAGGTTGGCAGGAGCTGGGACAAGCAACTGGAGCTCATTCCGTCACGTGGATTCGATCTTACGACTGCTGGTTCTGACCTTGCAGCACAGAGGCTTCTGCGGTTTAACCTGCACCGCCACCACATCCCTTTAGGTGTGGGGAAGGAGGTGTAAAATCTGGGAAGGTAATTGGAACCTTGTACAGAGTAAATACCTACAGTATTTTCTTGCAGGTCCCACTCTGTCCCATTTGGTGCAGAGTTGCCAGCATCCTCAGCAGAGGCTGAGTGGAAGGAACTCATGCAGAGGTGTAGCAACCCATTCCTGTCCTGCGAGTGGGTTTTCTGGGTCGAGAGGAACTTTTAATTACTGAATTTGACACAGTCCCATTTCCTTTACATGTGGGAACGAGTTGCTTACCCCTTTTGGTCCTGGGTGCTATACACAGCACTACCACGGAGGAGGGTGTGGAATCAGGATAGAAATATAACACTTTAAAAGCCATGAATCAGACCGGTTTCGATTCTGCAATAGAGTTGCCGTTGAAAAAGGTCTGAGGAGAGGGAGGCGTCTTGCTTAAGAGGCTCTAATTAAAACAAGGAATGTTTTCTTGCTTCTGATCTATTGGTAGGCGATACCTATCTGTGTTTGTTTCCAAAAGCATTAAGCACCGCCAGATATTTATCCGGAGTAAAAGATCTAATAGGTCATTAGGGGATATAGAGATTAATTGGAATAATTTACACTTTCCTCCTCTAGGAGAGTGTGATATTTAGTCCTTTAAGTACACTGTGTTTGTATATCAGTACACTAATGTACCGTCAATTCACAGTAAGTCCTACGTAATCTACTCAGAAGTAAGCCATTTTGAGTTTGGTGGGGCTTACTCTCAGGAAAGTATAGGCTTGCAGGATAGGAATCTTATATTTAATTTAAGGACTTAATGGGGCAGTAGATTTTTTAAAAATGTTAATTATTTTTAATGTAGGTACTTACACATCTACTTTTTTAAAAGGTCAATATATGCAACGTCTGTGTACTTCTTGAAAATATCCAACATAGAGAGGTGGTCTGTCTACAACGGTCATCCATGGGCCTTCAAAAAATGTTCCCTGAGCCTTATGAAAATGTATTCAGATGTAATGGCTGGAATCCCATTGAAAAATGACACAAGTGTAAATTTCTCTTGGTGTAAATTTCAGCTGCTAGTTGCTTTACTTTAAAAAGGTCTCTATAGGGATGTGTGCCAGGTTGTACAACTGAGAAGCAGTTGCAAGCCCTTCGTTATTGTTTTAACTCACTACAAATCACTGCTGAGGTTTACACCCATGGAGCCATACTGGTGGGTTTAACTCATAGGATTCTCGCAATAAGTAAAGAGCAAGAGTAGCCAGTAACAAAAGCAATAAAAAGAATCGAATAAGAAGTTAAATTAATCTGATTTAAATGGTGCCTCAATAAACTGGTGGCAGTTCGTTTATTTTTTGAAAATCCCTTGTAATGCAAATCACTTATACAAGGAGCAGATTGGAGAGACTGTTCAAAAAAAAAAGCATTCTTTTTTCTAACATAGGAGATATATTGAAAAAAGAAACTATATTGTTGATTGCCTGGAAAAAGAAAGATTGGATTTCAAATTCTCAATCCAGTTCGCCCGTTAAGAACGCAGGTGTCTCACACGGCTGGGGCGGCTCTCATTCGGCTTCTCTTGTGTGTCTTAAACGCATACAGAAACTTCTGCTTCCAGTTTGTTCAGCATTTATGTTTGTTTCTTGGCTTCAGATTCTGGCTTGGCGGAGGAGCCCGTGTGTTTCGTGTTTCCGCTGAGAAGGCACGCCACTCTTGTAGTGGGGGTAGGTAGTTATTTTTATTCGGTTCAGTCTGTTTATTTATTTTTTTAAAAGATGAATTTACTGAAATGTGCAAATGTTGCCATCCTCCTATTCAAGAATCCCTTTGTGTTCGGCCATGTTGGTGCTGATTCGGAGTTGCCCCTTCTTCTTCTTTTTTTCCTGAAAGGCTCCTCATGTTTAAGACTTACATAGCAGGACCAATATGACGTGGTCCTTTCCATGCTGGGGATCACGCTGACTGATGTTCATTTCTTCAGAATATACCCAACCAGGCATGCTTCTTCATATTTGAACTTGAAGTTTAGCGATTTTCATAGGGGTGAAAAAGAAGCGGACATATTTCCCCCTGCCTCTGCTTCTTAATGGCATTAACGAATGTCCGTGGCCAATTCTGTAAGGCGAATGTAAAAAGATCATATCAGAGGATTCTGACTCGATGGTGTTAGCGTCAAAGCATTTAATGGTTTTAAATTGTTGGCTTTCCTGATGGAGGCTGGCGCCTTGCGAGTATTTAACACAGCGCCGGCGTCCGGGCTGGTAAGCCTCTCCCCACAACCCACGCTGTGCTTAAATGTTAAGCACCAGAGTTCGTCTTTCAAAAGCCCATCTCCTTTGAAAGCCAGTCCTCATCGGCAGGAACCAAGAGGAACCCCTGTGTGGTTTCTCCTCCATTCCTTCGTCTGCTGGAACAAACGTGCCCCGATCATTTGGGAGATGGTCTGTGGGAGCCTCTTGGCTCGCCACGTCCCCCCCCCCTTCGGTGCCACCGCCACTGAGCATCCTGCCAGCCCATTCTGCTGTGCGCTAATGCTATTATCCTCCCGAAATTAAATATCAGGCCCAAACCTATAATGTTTCACAGGGTGGGAATTGGGGTTATATATTCCTGGGTAGAGCTACCTTCTATTTCAGTCGTAGCATTTAATTATGATTGGTATGTTAGTGCCCACCAGAGCATAACAAATTGTCATTATGTTATTCTGCTGAGTCTAATTTAATTGGCAAGTTGTCACAAAAGCAATTATCTGTCATTTATTTTGTTGCCATAACCACATCTTATGGAGCACCTGCTGTCTTTGCGAGAAAAAGGGCCCCCCCCAGGTCCCTCTGGCCTTGGATTCCTTCCACTTTCTCAGACGCAAAACAGGCTGTTTTTTTTAAAAGTAGGGTTGTGTTTGGTCTTGGTGGGATTTTAAAAATAAAGTTTGCTTCTCGTTTCCCTGAGTAGTGATTTTTATGTGTGAAAACGAAGATCTGTTGGCACAAGTTGGCAGGGCCGGAAAAACAGGAAATCGTGTGATTTAGAGACAAACCGGGGTCCAAATAAGAGAAAAGATGGTCATCCGTACAGAGTCTGTGCTCTGTTTTTTTTTTCTCTTTTCTGTTCTTTGTCAATAACAAAGGTGACATTGCAATCATAAAGTCACAAAGTTGGCTTCACTGTTATTTTTCACTGTAACTAGTTTCCTTCATAGCTCTAAATCTAGTTCCCGGGCCCGACTGTGGTAGACCCCTTGACTCAATTGCTGAATGATCAGTCAGCGCTTAATCAAAATCTCTTTGCTTCAGTGGATCAGTTTAACTGGGATTAGCCCTTGGATTTAGGCCATAGCACTGAATGTTTTGTACCACATGAAAGCAGCTTTTAGGGTTCAATTTAGTTGAAAAGAAGCAGCTGAACATTGTCTGTTTTAGATTCTACCGAATAATGAGAAAGCAAGGCCTTTTTAAAAAAAAAATAAAAAAATACCTATAGCAGAGGCTGCTCAGTTAAGTTTACTTCTGACGCAGGGGAACAAACTGGAAATAGTTAAAGTAACTATCTGAGCTCTCTCGTTTGGGTCTGGTATTTTCAAATCCCAATTGTTGCTGACATTAATCAATCAAAGGTAATGAAAGCCCAGCAAAATTAGTATGTTTACTGTGATCCACCATGGTTCAGCAAATGGGGTGTCAGACCATGCATGAGGCTGGTGGAGGGAAAGGGAAGCCAGGACAGTAAGGAATAACTTCGCCCTTTCTGAAGCTGTAACTGATTGTCATTATGAGGGTGTGGAGGAGGAAGATCACATGGTTCAAGGGTGGGCTCATACTGTGGCCTTTGGCTCTGTGGTAGAGTTTGAGGTGACCGTGAGGTGGGCCCGCAGAGGGTATATTTCCTACTGGAGGTCAGTGGCTTGTGGCAGCTACATGTCTTTCCCCAAACCTGAAAGGAATTGAAAATGAACCATATCAGTTACTTTTGAGAAACAGGAAAGTAAAGAGTTACTGTTCGGAAGTGCAACCGTAACAGTAACTTGGGGGTTTCTTGGCCTTCGTATGGTGAGTGCAACTAGTAACTTTTTAAAGCTCTGAGCGTGCCAGGGGAACCATTCATCGGCCTTTATTTCCATAGGTCATTCGAGGGGGAGAAAAACAGACCACCCGTGATTTGTTCTTCTGAATGTATGAGTGCACAAACCTGGATTCTGCTGTCACGCCAAACTCAGATTAAAGGCCAGAGAGGAACAAGGGCTTGTGCAGAATGCTTAAAAGTCGTTGGACATTACCTACCAGGGTTTGAGGAAGATTTGGGGAGCAGTCACTCCATGCAAAGAGTTTTCCTCTACCCTTGACCTTTTCCCTGGGGAAAGAATTGGAGGGGCTGCGTTCAGCAGACTAGATGTTTCTTGTGAGCAACCTGGAAGAGATGGGGGATTTTCAGCCCTGATTGTAATGGCTTGCTAGGAAATTAAAGCTGATCTCTCCGCTCTTCAGAAGAGCTTCCATTTTTCTGATGGGCTCTGATTCTACATTTGCAGGAAGAACTCGGTTGTTATTCAGTGCAAATGAGAAGTAATTCTACTGAACCTAGATTGACTGTCTCTCCCCCACCCTTTTAGTATAGTCAAACATACAGTAGCAACACTTCCCAGTTTACACGACTGATTAACAAGTCCATTTTGCCCCTCCGTCTTTATTTATGTGAATGCCACCTTAAACTTTTAGTTTCAAAGCGTTCAGTTTAAGATGAATCTTCCTGTTCTGGTTCCCTCTGTTTTGAAGTTTTCAGAACCCATCAAGCTATTCAGATAAGGTGATATCTTGTAGTAAGAACCGGCGTTATGTCGTGGGTAGAATGCCAGAGTAGAACTCAAGAGATCTGGGTTCTGTTCCCCACTTGGCCAAGGAAGCTTGACTGGAGGAAGATGCTGGTGAAACCATTTCTTAAGTATCGCACATACCTTTGAACCCTCAACTAGGGTCACCGTCAGCGAGAAATGACTCATGGGCCCATGAGCCCCTTGTACCTCGGTTTCATTCACGAAACTACTCTTTCTCCTTTGAGTATTTTATTTCTGAAAGCCAAAGAGTCAAGCTGCTTGCAGAGATGAACATGGAGGCTTGCTTCTTGAGCTACATAAAGGCTAATGTTCAGCTTCCAGGGGTTCAAAACGTGGCAAGAACTCTGAGATATTTCAGAGTCAATTTTTCAGGAACCTGTTTTCTTAGAGTCAGCTGGTCTTATTTACTTTCCTGCTAAAGCTTCAGAGAAAGCTTCCACCTTCACGCCCGGGAACCTTTCCTTCCGCTCCCCATTTGCATTGCCGTCTTCCGTCTCATAGCTAAAATGTTCGGTGCCATGCCTTCCTTTTTATGTATCTTTGACCTATTAAGAATCCGAACGGCAAGAAAGGCAGTTCCGAAGATCTCGTTAGTGTAAAACCACATTTTAAATCTTCCAGCCCGTCTTCTCTCCAGAAAGCCGACTGGCGTTATGTTATTTGTGTTAGAGGGAGAGAGGAGGGTGGGGCGAGAGGGGAAAAAAAAATTCCCTAGCCTTCCACCTTCTTTTCTTTCATTACCTCAAATTTGATTATTTTCTAAACCGAGGAGATTGCTTAAGACCACGATTTATTCATCAGACACGCGTCGGGGTGATGTGATTCTGAATTGCAACCTAGGCAGGGGCACCAAATCAGTATAATTCATTCCTCTCCTTCAGACACCAGCCCTCCTGCTGGAAAATCTGCACACTGCCACCCCTGCCGAGAAGCTTAATTGTTTCACTGGGCTGGATGGGTGCATGGCAGGGGGGGGGAGGAGAAGCTTCATCCCGTTCCTTTTCTTGTAAAGAGCAGCTGCCTTTGTGGCTGCTTGCCTTTGTTAGCCATAATCTCTAAACCCACTCTCGTTCCAGCTTGCACTCTGGTTTGAAAAGTTAGTGAGTTTCCTGACTCACAGTCCCATTGCACCTAGACTCGTGATGATCCGTTGTTGTTGTTATTATTGTCAGGCGGTGCCAAGTCAATTCTGACTTATGGTGACCCTTTTCAGGGTTTTCCAGGTAGAGAGTACGCAGAAGTGGTTGATTCTTTCCTTCTTCTTCCGGGGGTGCCCTGAGACTACTGTGCAGCTGGCCCACAGTTGCATAGGCTGGCACGGCTCACAGGAGGCACAGTGGGGAATCAAACTCCCAACCTTGGGCTCCGCAGACAAACACTTAATCCACTGGGCTACCCAATGTGTTTGCACCTCTGTACTCATCATTCATTAGGCATCCTTCAGTCTCGAAAGACTATGGGAGCGTGCTCTGTATGGAGGACTTGGAACAGCGTCTAGTGTGGCTGAGGAGGCCGATTTGAGAGTGACAGTCTCTTCCACACTGAAGACAAATCCAATCTGTCCCCTGTTCAGCTCCCTGGTTTTGCTGCTTTTGTGACTTCCTCTTTACCTCGGCCTGCTGGACAAGGGTCTCTTCAAATTGGGAGTGGCCGTGATGCATCACCTGCCTCCAGGCTGAACGCTCCAATGTCAAGGTTTCCCATCTGTTGAGGTCCATTCTTAAGGCCTTCAGATTCCACTTGCAGATCTCCTTGTATCGCAGCTGTGGTCTCCTTCTGGGGTGATTTCCCTGCACTAGGTTACTGTGATACGCCTTTCACAAAGAGTTTGGACAACTTGACTTAGTACAGAACACACTCTCTTAAGATAGCCAGCTCCGTGCACATTCTGTGAAA